CGAAAAGCTTTGTCAAAGGAAATATACACATTATCTTCAAATATGAATAACAATAATATTCAATTACAATAATTTCTGAGCAAGTACCATATTGCTACATTATAATAAAAGGGGGTTCTCATAAATATAAATGCCATATTGCAAATAACCATATTTATAGCTTTATTCATATACGCTAATGAAATTATAGATAAGCATTTCCGCACCAATCTAAATACTTGTCCACTGTTCATATATCATCTGACGGAGTAAGGGAATTCATAAACATAGAGCACCTTGGAAAAAAAAGGACTTAACATAATCTTCGTTTTTTAGACACATATCTGTCCAATCATCTACATGTAGACAGGTAAAATGGTACATTCATCGGTAATATCTTTAAATTTAAATCAAAACCCGTTTTTTATGCCTTTTTTTGTTTATTTCATTATCGTTCTATGATAATCCATTTGAAACAGAATGTAGAGTTATATCACTATATATAAACATAAATTTAGTGGCTATCTAAGTGTTTTGCCTGTTATTAAAGTCATTCACAATGTGGCACAATAATCGTTACACATATATTTTCTTTTTTCTCCATGCCTGCATTCATATTTGTACAACCACTATATACAGAGATGTCGAAGACATAACAACACTTTGTAGCAAATAATAATTGAGGCGCCTGTTTGTAACCACTAAATTTGATTCTATTTAGGAAATCACTTTCGACATTTTCGAAGCTACAGGACATTTGCAATTTCAGATTCTAATGCCCATGCTTCCTATCGCATTACTCCACAAATGATTTTAGAAACAAGGTAAAAAAAATATTGCACTGTCTTCCAAATTTTGTTACCACGGTTTTTTACTCTATTAAAATGTGTGTTTCTCTATACATGAACGCGCTTCGTCCTCCTCAGTTTTCTTGTTGCTCTATGCGCAAATGGTAGCTGTGGATACTCAATTACCATTTCCACAACCGTTTCACACAAATGAATTCATAAAAAGTATATGACACTTCCACTGCTTCGAAATATACTAAAACATTGATAATACAGAAACAAGCAACTATTTACCATGTGTATATTTCATTCTCTTCTAACATTGCAGTGCAATAAAATAACAAAAAAATGTAAGGCACACAATACATGTTAACACGTATGCAGTGCTGTTTTTTTAAGAAATCTTAAAAAAAACAAAAAAAAAATGCCGTTTAACACTCTTCATATTAGCTTGAAAATAAATATAAGGGACAAATTACACAAAACCCTTAACAGGACACTAACTCATCATTAGGCCACCGCCTGTACATAACGCACAAATGATATTTTTTTACTGAAAAAAACAAATTAGCAAATTAGTGTATATAAATTACACGAACGTATGCATAAATATACATGCATTTTACATACATATGTACTCAAATTTCTCCAACGACCCTTTTCATTGAAAAAGATGCAAATTAAAAAACATCTTGTTCCAATATATTTATAAACCCTTTCCTTCAAAATTCTATTTGGCTTTGCTTATTGCGCTTCGGAAATCGGCCAGCCAAGTCAAGATCTTCTTTAAAATGTTTTCATTTCCAGGCTCGACACTCAACATGTGTTCCCTTTTTTCTAAAGTGTACAGCTGCTTATTATCGTTCTTTAGTCTGTTAAAAAATGATACAACTCCTTTATAGTAACATAGAGCATCATCCTTCGAATGGATAAACAAGATGGGAATATCCCCAGGAATGTAAATGATATCTCTGTCTAAAATTTTCATTGCTTTTAATACTTCATACCCCAATCTACATGTTATTCCTTTCTTATAACGAATCTTATCGAAACGGATCACATCATTCATATATCTATGTCTTTTGTAACGCTTCCTATTTACAAATCGATAACTTGGAAAAAGACAGGAAATCATCTTGAAAAATGACAAATAGAAGCAACTATACTTGTAGGAACGCGGAGCCGCTGCCAATCCTTCAATAGAAATCATCGTGGACAATGATATACACCCCTTAATATTTAATCTCTTATAGGTTTCATCATTCGATTTTCCCAGTAATTGTAAAGTCCTTAAAGCAACATTTCCTCCCATCGATTGTCCAATAATATAAATGGGAAGGGCTTTTTTTTTTCTTCCTTTCTCTAAAAGGAGGTCAGTCCCCGTCTCGGAAATGGGTAGTAACTTAGTAGCGTTTGTTTTATTAATCGATTTATCACCTATTTGGCTACTAGATGCAAATCTCCGTTTGCTATCAGAAGCATCACTAATTTTTCTACTACCGGATTCATCTTTCTTTGCACTACTATACCACTTATCCCTTCCTTTTCTGTCTGACGATTTATAACTTTCTGGGGAGATTGACGATTTATCACTGCTATTGCTTTCTGACGATTTGTCTTCTTCTCCCCTGCCTGACGATTTATCATTCTGGCTGTTCCTTGATGATTTATCATTCCCACCGTTGCCTGACGACTTATCATTCTTGCTTCTGTCTGACAATTTGCCTTCTGTTTTGCCAGTAGGTTCTGATTCTTCTTCTGTTCCTTTGACACATAAGAAGGTACCACGGTTTGTGTTACTAGTTGAGGGTACCTCTTCACAAGTTTCGTCCCTAGATGATGATGAATCCGCAGATTTATCACCATATGAACTCACTTTGTCATGAATTTCATGAATATACTGTATCACGTCATACACCATATCGTCATACTCTTTTACATTAGCCTTTAAATTCCCATATCCATCAGATTGTCCATGACCCTGCAGATCTATACCGTAGACTGAATATCCATGCCTATTAAGGTGTTCTATCCAACTATCCTTGTAAAGGTAATAATTATTCTCATCTTTTAA